CCCCAAAACCCCAAAACCCCAAAACCCCAACTTAATCGAAACCCCAAAATATATTAAAAATCACCAAGTGTTAAATAAGAAGAAATGATGCCATTTGTTCAATGTAGCAAAAATTACAACATTTTATCTAAACTTTTTACCACCAATTATTTTAACTTGTCCAAGCTGGTTTTCTTCAAAGATTTGTTTAGCTGCACTTTGGGTTATTCCTCATCTCAGGATGTCTACTTTTTTGAGACTCGATCTTAAATTCGGAGAACTTGCTAGCCCTTGTATCAAGTTCTTGAATTGGCCGAAGCTGTTCTCCCAGTCACTTCTATTAGAGCTTCCTGATCCGATTAAATCTAGATCCTGGATTTGGCAATTTGTAAGAGCCTTTGAAAAATCAGGAACACTTGGAATAGATAAACTGCAATCCCACAATACCAATACTCTCGCATGCCTGTAAGCTGCCACCAACCTCTTCAATTGGTTGAAGCCAATGCAGAAACGATAAAACGAAACTTCTTTGGTCACTTTAGAACTGAGCCTGAGTAGTGGGCTTAAGTAATTGGACCTATTTAGATCCATTTTAGCCCTGGATTTAAAACAGAGATAATTAGTTTTATTTGGGAATGAGGATTCTAAGAAATCTACAAAATGCCTATTTTTAGAGTCAAAGTAATGAAACCAAATCTGATTTATATCAAAGAACTTGAGATGCTTGAAACTTTTGACAAACTTCTCATCTCTAAGATCTTTGAAATGAATTCAAAGTTCACTGTTTTCTGGAACTTTTCCAGGGTCTGAACCCAATGGCTTAGCTTCTCTGTTCTCTGGAAAGATCTTATAGAGAATGCTCTGATATCTGGTGATATCTTGTTTCTTGGTTTTGGCCAGGATAAATTTCTCTAGACTGCACAATTAGAGATGAACGAGGAGGGGATTAATGTCAGAATCCATCAGAAAGTTTAAGTTAGATTTGTGAAAGAGTATTAATTGTTATATTGAGAAGCCTGAAAGCAAGAATTTTGAGAAGAAAATACAATCTTTTGAAAAAACAAACAGATTCTGGAGATATATAACTGGAAAATTCTTTTTAATTTAAGCAAGAACTTCTCTTACAAGAACTTTGCAATGTATTTATTATAGAAGTTGGCAAATTTTGGTACAAAAGTTAAAAAATTCAACCTACTACAAAGTAGAGAGTGAAAATTCAGAGCGCTCTAAAACTAAGCTCTCGGTTACCTGATTTTCTGGGTGTCCTTTTCTTCAATAGCTTTTGGCATATTTTCCATTTTATTATTATTTTATATTCAATATTTATTCAGAGGCGTGGGGTTTTGGGGTTTTGGGGTTTTGGGGTTTTGGGG